TGAGCTGTGTTCAAAGGTCTGGTTCACTCAGTGATGTGGTGGTGGCTGTTTGCAGGGCCAGATGCATGCAAGTAAACCTCTCTGCTTCATGTGAATGACCCATGGAGCAGATGGTGGCCAGGCACCTCTTCACACCCTTTATCTTGCTTCCTGTGTGGGGCTACATTCAGATCCTGGTGGAGCAAGTCCCCTGACCTGTGTAGTGACTGCCACGCCACAGCAACACAAAACCTGTGTCTGTGTGATGCTCCTGTGGAAAGGGCTCTGTTAACACACCACTGAGCTTAATGTAGAGGCACTGCAGGGCCTGGGAGGAGGGAATTCTTTTATTTTCCATGAGTATCTGTACCTGGGCCATTAACTCTCATATCTAAGGACTATGGATAGAAATTTCTCTCATTTCTTCAGCACTACAAATTAATTGCATGTTCAGCACATGAGCAAGGCAGGGGGATAAATTTAAGCAAGCCCAGTTTAGCATTTACCAGCATCACCCCAGCTTCTTTATCCTGTTCCTTCCTGCTGGGACCTTGAATCTCTATGCTTGCATGCTGACTTCTCTTGTCTTCTTTTCTTTGCTTCCCTCTCTACTCCCACTGCTGACATGTCCCACCCCACCACTCTCATCTGCTCCTTCTCATAGCTTCTCATCCTCTCATCTCCTCATCCCTTCCCTGTTTCTCCCAGTATTCCTTCTCACTTTAAAACACAACTGGCTGTTCCAAAATACTAGCAATTGGATTTCAGAGAAATTGAACACTGCCAAAACCAAGTCAGTTTCTGAGCCCCTCTTCCGCTTGGATGACAATCAGGTAGGGATAATGCCGCTAAAGAACCGTCTGCCACAGTGCAGGGGGCTGTGAAATGAGCCCCTGGGCATTAAGCTGGACTGCATTTGCAGGGTGCCCAAGGACAAGACCCCGGAGGGTGAAGGCCTGGTGCCCCTGCCTGGAGCTGAGCACGGCTCCAATGTGAACAGTGCCATCTTTTGGATAAGGTGGAAAACTGTACTAACCTCCCGCTGCCACCGAAAACCTCTCCACGCAACCCTCCCAGAGAAAAAGGCTCTTTCTTTTTCCCCTTGCTCTCACAAAGATTGCTGCCTCAATTCCCCCTCAAGTTTTTATCAGGAAAAGTTATTCTTCCCTTCAAACTCAGAAGTGCGCAGTGGTGTGTCTGCACGGCATCCAGCAGTGCTGCCTCGCTCAAGTCAACTGCATTTCAGTGGTATAGCTCACAGAAAAACACTTTGAAGGAGATCTTTCCACAGGAACCAGGGTGCCTGATGAACACCGCTGCGGCTTGTGAGCAAACGTCCCAATGACTGAAAGTCTGACTGAATGCAGAAGCAGCAGCACGGCTGCAAAGGGGGCAGCAGTTCCAGGATTTGTCTGTGCTGCAAAGTGCTTTAAGGCTGAATAAAGGGAAAAGGCTATGAACCAGAAATGTAATCTTATACTGCTCCACGTAATACACAAGTGACACTATTGTAGAAATGAATACTGCAATTGCACTGGAACTGGGCTTTTAAAATCCAGTGAAACATCCTGGTTCCTGGAGGGGCCTTAGCTGAGAATACACTCATTCTCAGTAGTCATGCTGATGCTTTTTGAGTCTGAGCCAAGATTCTGTAAATCTAAGTCAGCTCTGTCTCCTGTGCCTAATAATATGAAGCAAGAAATAGCCCAGCCTTATAAAAACTGTGGGTTTTGGCCTCAGCCCATATTGATTATATAGCTCATAAATGAAGCCCAAAATTCTGGTTCTTGTCCAAACAACAATCACCTTGGAGCTCCATGCCTACAAATCAGACTGGCAGATATTAGCTGCTCTGAGTTTGTTCAGGCTTACACTTCTCAATTTAAGCTGAGCTTCCTTTTGTGTATGCACAGTTTCTTGAGCAAAGTCTTTTTTCCAGTTGCATGCTCTTCACAGAACCACAATACTCACTGACTTCCACAGATATTCTCTGGTCAAATCCTTACTGCTATGGAATTAATGGCAAAATGTTGCTGATTTTACTGCAATCAAGATTTCCCCACTTGGAAACCAGTCTTCTAGGGAGCTGCTAGAACACAGTGTTACAGGAAATCAGAATTAACTAAGCAAAGTGATTAAGATGTTCTGCTACCCACCTAAGTAACCCCATAAATGAGAGATGGACAGAGAGATCTGACCTACTTCTATCAGTTCAGCCAGGAAAAAGGGCAACTCTAACTAGCTCTGGTCACCCCTGCATGGCAGCCTCTATCATCAACCTCCAGCAAGTATCGTTTCAGCCCATGACTGCTATTGCTGATAAAGGCGGCAGAACATCATAGACCAGAGTGCTGTTGCCCTGGGTAGAAGCCTTGGACAGCTTCCCCATCTTTGCACTGCTGAAAATTACAGCCACCAACTATCTGTAACGACTGCACCCAGCTGAGATTTTTCATCTCCTACTTGGCAACTGTCACACCTGGAACCCATTTATGCCACTGAAATAGCAGTTGTAGGCTTAAATGCTGTATATAAAGGCTATCTTGAAATGCTGCTTCTAGTTATGCCAAATTAAGCACATGCTTTTGAAGAGGTAAAACAGACCCACAGCAAGCGTTACTTTGTTGGGTATTGATGTGAGGATTTTGGCCCCATAGGTAAGTCTGTACTTGTGAAGTCTGCTTGATACTGGGGCCCCTCTCAGAACACTCGTAGCAGGAGAACCCTGTTTGGAGGGCTGGTTCACCTTCTTATCCTTCTTTCACTGCCACATGGAACTCAAGGTCTTCGGAGATGAGGGGGAAAAAGCTTTCTCTCATCATGGTAGCATGACAGAAAGCTCTTGACTATGGGTGACTTTCCATGCAGCTTGAGAGCCCTTGGACGGGCAGATGGCCACTGCCCAGGCTAAATTCATTTTCTCAGGACTGAACACCAGAAGAGACAAAGCGATCACCAAATAGGGAATGTGGATCAGTAGGTACAGGGCACTAGTGCTTGTGAAAGGAAGAGTCTCTACTGCAGGGCAGGCTTCGCCAGCAGGGCAGAGTAATTATCCCCGGGGCACTGAGGGCTTCTGCCCTATCTGGGCAACTGAGACCTCAAGAAAAACCCTGAGAGACAGAGTACACTAAGCTCTCTATTGGACTTTAAGTGAAGCCTTCAAAATGGTGGGGAGATGACTGTGCTACTATATATGCACTATTATTCTCCCTAAACTGTTTTCTTCGTGTGCTGGCTGAAACACCTTTTGATCCCTTGGAAAAATAGATGCATTTCTCCAGCTTCACAGGTCCCTTCAGAGGTAGGTTGTATGCCGGGATGCTCTCAGAGATGATGTTCTGAAGCGACATCATGTGAGTAAGTAAGGGAGAAAACCAGTCCAGCAAAAGGAACTTTACTAGGTGTCCATGACAGATGTATTGAAATATTCAAGCTTAAACTAATACAAACTTTCCATGTCAGACATTATGTGTTTCACTTCATACGGACTAAAGTGTTTTGGATGGTGTCTCTTTAACATGCTGCTGAAGTTTGCACATGCAGATATGTATTTTGAGCTGCTAAAATAATTCTGTGTAAGGGGGAAACTATGAGCAGCTGAGGGAGGAAGTAACACTTCTGAAAAAATAGAATCTGCTTCAGAAACTGGTGCATGCTTTGAAAAGACAAATGTTTTATCACTGAGGATTTCTGGCTTTCGACTACGTGCCAATCTGAATCCAGTTTTGCAATTTCCACTTAGCCATATCAGCTCTTACTGTCAGTGGAATTTTTGTCTGAGTGGAAACAGGAGCATCAGACCCTTTGACAGCAGAGTCGTTCCTCCCCCAGAGGGAGTCTGAATGGTAAGGTAGCACAGAGATTTTTTCCTAGGAACGTGACATTGAGAATGTCCACATCTATTTAGCAAGCCATCTCACCCTGGCGATGCACCCCATGCATTTTTGGCCCTGTCTCTTCAAGACTCCTATTTAACTTCATGGTTACAAGCAGCCCCCTTGAAACGAAGCTTGGTGTGTGCTTGCACATTTTGCAGGACAAGGGTCAGTATTTTCACAGCCCCAAGCCCAAATAACAGGTTTTTGCTCTGTAAGCCACTGCACTCTCAAGCTAAATGCTATCAATTCAGCCGATGGAGTTAACAGCAAAAAATGTAGAAGGAAACAGAGCTGGCGAAATAGCTTGTGATTATTATCTGAGGGCTGGGTGGAGTACCTATTGGAGAGGCAGCAGCTGGGAGCCGGCGTATCCAGAATAGAGAAGCTGACATTACAGAACTTCTTTCCCAGCTAAATGCTTTGGTTTTCTCTGAACTTCCTAACTTCCTGGGGGGCTGGTGGCAGCTACGTGACCTGCAAACCCTGGGGAGACCGGCCCCAGCTTTTAGATCAAGGGACTCAAAGTGAGAGAGAAAAACAAATGCTTTTTTTGAGGAATGCACTTTGAATTATTCATCTGCATGTTACTGAAATCTGTTTTGTTCCTCACTGGAACTATGAGGAACTCTAATTACAAGTATTTAAGACACACATAAATTACCTTGCCAGCCATGATGAATGCTGCCTGTAAAGCCTAGAAGTATTATTCCTGCAACTGCAGCCAAGAAACGTTAATAGACCACCTGTTGGGTGAGATGCAAAATGATCACTACCATGTTATGAATAATCGGAATTCTAGTGAAAGCAGGCGATACTTCTGTAGTGCCCTGGAAATCTCTAGACATCCTCTGCCCTTTCGCTACACACCTAATGCCAGTTCTTCAGGAGGGCAGCTGGGCTCATTTTTAACTAGATGCCTAGGGAACTAGCTAGGTACTGGGAGGACAATGACCTGGCTTTGGGTGGCTGTCCAAAGCTTTGCTATTCAAATGTCATGGGAGCACCGTACCTGGCTTCCCCTCGCTCCCCACCCCTCGTCTCTTTCTCACCAGCCTTGAGAACGGATTTTGTGACATCCCCACCCGGGTGGGTGTCCCCACCACGGTGGTTGCACTGGGGACAAAATGACAATGTAGAACATAAGTACTGACATGCCGTGACTCCACGGGCAGTGGTGATGTTGATAGAGGCAGACTTCTGTAAATACACGACAGACTTCAAATGCCAGGATGCTTCTTGAGCCCTAAATAAGCCTTGTTAGACTGCTGCTTTTGTTTTCCTGCAGCTGCAAATTTAACTCTTTGCAAAGACATCCTGTGATCTTTCACTTAGTTCAAAGCTGTGGTAGTTGTGTGTTTGCATCTCAGACACGCTGTCTTCCAAAAGCCTCAAAACGGCATAAAGCAAAGGTACGTGGTGGCTGCAGAAAAAGCAATGGGATAGAAAAAGGTATCTTGCTCGAGTTGCAAGCGGATGCAAAATGATAGTGCTGGGTTGCATTCGTGTGCTCTCTGGCAACGAGCAGCTGGGGGCAGTAAACACCGCTCAGATGAGCCGGAGCCACAGGTCCTACCTTTACAAGTGGCTGTCTCGGGGAGGAACAGCCATGGAAATTCATGCCAGGGGCATACAAGGTCTGTGTAAGTCTCCAGGCCGCAAACTAGACTTACGCAGGGTAAGAGTGAAGCCTAGCTTTCGTGTGAGATACAGAAAAGGGCAGGACCTGCTTAACCTATGTACAGTGCCAAGGAATGCATGGCTACCTGCTAGTCCCTCGATATGTGGCCTCCAGTGAAGATCCCCCAGCAGTGTAAGGTGTGTTACTCAACCACTGTTTGGAGTGGGACCACAGGGACACAGGCAGAGGCATCCCTCCACCGGCAGCAAGCGTCAGCCAGCTGGAATTTGCAGTTTTACATTGCAATGCATCAAGCTAAACTTCACAATAGTTTCTGAGGGCTTTTTCTGGGGCAGACTGTGCTTCCTCAGCAGTTTTGGAAAGGGCCACAGGGACTCTGACAGTGCTAAGCAGACGGGCGCACTGCTTGAAAGCCCTTTTCTGCTCTGCATTAGCACTTCAGTAGGGAAGGGCTGCAGGAGAGGTTTACCCACTGCAGCTCCTCAGGCCCAGCACAAGCGCTGTCTCTCTCATCTGCATATTTGGAGCTCTCTAACTTGCTTTCAGAATCGACTTCACACACCAGCTTGGTGCAAAAGAACTTTCAAAGGGTGCAGTTATGGTCCGTGGAAGCATCTGCACCAAGCATTTGCCAAAGCAGAGGTCAAGGCTGCTCTGCTTTCTGCAGATTGAGTGACAGCCCCTGAGATCACCTCAGGATGGCACCAGACATGATGGGGCATGTGGTACCATTATGCCTTCCCTGGCAAAATAGTCCAAGAAATCATTCATGTTGGCAGTATCTGCAGGAGTGAGCACATCAGCCAGGGCCTGTTCTCTGCCCCTGAGGTCAAACAAGAGTATGCAGATCCCAGCTCATGTCATCGGGGCTGACCTAGGTTTTTTTTTTCCCAGGACAGGGTGAGCTCACCAGTTCCACGGTCAGGACCAGCCCCAGGGCTGCCAGCTGGGAGAGGCCCTGGTGTCACAGGCCAAAACTGTGGCAGGGAACATGCTAACATAAAAAGCATGGAGGGCTGCATGTTGCTGCTTGAGGTCGTGCCCTGACCCTCTTCAGTTTGCTGCTGTAGAGGTCATCACTGGAAATAAGAGGAGCTGGCTGAAGTGATGCTCTGCTCATTTGAAAATGAGACAGAAGCTTAAACTCTTGTCCCTTCCCCCAGAAAACTGCCTGCCAGCCTATGCAGGCTGGCTGGGGAGAGCTTTCCTGTGCTACATGGCTGTGTGGTCTCACCTCTGCGCTGGCCATCTCTGCCTCTCCTCTCTGTTCGCTCCCTGAACAGATGGGAAACACAACAGGGGCATTGTGCACAGCAAGGCTCATCTCTCAAAGCCCAGAAAGATGGCAATTTTACAGTTCCATGCTATTTACAGAGGAGCTTGCCATGGCCTCCCTGCTGCACCAGGGTTGTGTTGTGTGATGTGGCTGAATCTAATACCTCCAGTTGAGCTGCATCTCTATGTAACCTGCAGGCTGAGTGGGCAGCCAGAGTTCAGAGCCTGGCCAAGCTGCTTCCCTGGGATGACAAAGGTGTGAGTCAGTTACAAGCTTGGTATAACCTACTTATTTATAAAGACTGTATACAAAGATTTTTTTTCCTCCTTGGCTAGGGCAGACACTTCCAGCAGGACAAAGCCTCTTTGCTTGGAACACAACAAGGTCCCCCAGCTCTGACAAGGCCTCGCTTCTCTTTCTTTATAGGATCCAGTCAGACAATTTGCAATCCATGGAGTTAGCAGTGAACTGCACATGCTCGTGTGCTCTTTCCAATTTGCAGTATATGCCTGAGGCAGAACAATAGCTGGAAGAGACAGGCTGTGAGCAAAATCGTATCGTAGTCACCTATGGCATGACCAAGAGGGAACCAAAACTCTCTCAAGTCTAAAAACCTCCAAAAAACCCTCACCCTTTCAGTTTCCACCTAACTCTAGAGGCATGAACATTCACTCTTGACTTTAGTTTTTCCTAAGTGCATGCTGCATCTGTGTAATCTGCATAGCCCAGTAGACCAAGTCTCTCCCCTGCTGTGTGCCAGGTATCGAAATGACATAACAGGGCAGGGTTTCAGACATGCCAAGGCCACATTCATTTGCCTAAATGTAGTCACGTAGTGCTATTTTAAGCACATTCGTCTACCCTGCCTAGCCTCTAACTGGCTGCTTTGTACATCCTACAATACCCAAAACACCCGTACGGGCCTGGCACGTCTGACACGCAACCCATCAGAGTCCCACACCCTTCTGGACTTGCAAGGAAGGACTGAGAGGGATATACACATATGCCTAAAATAGTACTAAACACTTCTGCTTCAGCAGCTAGATCCTTCCCACCACCAGCTTCAGCATTTCCCTGACTGGTCTGCACAGTCCTGCTGGTCCAGCTGCTAGTGGGGCTAATTTTCCATGTCAGTGCAATTTTAATTTGCCAGAGTTGCACCTGGTTAGGACTGATTATTTATTGTTTCAGCAAGAGCAGGACTTGATGAAATGTTCAAAGCTATATATAATGAAGTTCAGGATAACCTGGCACTCACAAGAGCATTAAGCAGTATAGAAATGCCAAAAGCAATATAGGATTGATAGTACATGGCTGGCTGCACCTTGTGATTACTTACAGATCGGGGACCTGAATCTTTATGGTGCTGCATCTTGTGTGGTCATTCATTATAGCATAAAATGGGTGTAAGCATTAGCAGTCAGCCTTGGAAGTACTTTATAGCCACTTTGCACTGGAATGAATGACTGTAAAAGCATGCTAACATTTGGTTCTTTAAATCTACTACTGCAGCAAGATCTTCCTACCTTAATGTTTGTGTTTTCTCACGATCAGGTTCCAAATAAATTTGCCTTTTGGAGGAAAACTGGCGATCTCTGGAGATGCCTGTACACACAGGTAAAGTGATAAACTTGCCTTGATGATTACACCATGAAAGTAGGCTTTGGTCACAACGTGCCCATCACGCAAAAAGTATTTCATTACGGAAACCAACTGTTGTTGGGGTAGAAAGAGAAATTAGACCTGTGGTCTAGGTAGGTTACAGCCAGTGAGACAGGGCAGCTCCATGGGTACCACAGTGCTCATCTTATGGTAGAGCTGCTCCATGGGTACCATGGTGCTTGTCCTATGGTAGGGCTGCTCCAAAAGGCTTTGACTTCTGAAACTTTGACATCAGCAGGAAGCAAAGGGAAAACAGGACAGGTAGGCAAGAGTGGCTTCCCCTTTTTTAACCTGCTCGTTAAAACTGACTTGTCCTGCTGGGGTATAAAACTCATTGGCAGTTACGTGCAGTGAGTTTGAGCACTAGGGTCCAGAGATTCAAATCCACCTCTAGACACAACACTGTCACCGTTACACATGTCAAACACCCTGGAAGTCAAGAAGACTTGAGGGCCCACTGGGGCACTGCCCAGCCTGCTCCAGGCCTTTGTGGAGCAGCAGGAGGGGAAGGTCCATGCACAGAGAAGTCTTCGTGCGTCCGGCAGCTTTTCAGGCACCTACCCAGTCCTTAGCTCCATCACTATGTTCTGCTGGTGTTGTGATTTTGCAATCAGCCAAGCAGGCAGGGCAAGAGATTATGGGGGTTATGGCAAGGAGCCCTGCAGAGGCCAGCCTCATTCCTTGGGGATGCAAATACAGAATATTGAAAGGAACATTAAAGGTCCGAACTCTTCTCCCTGCCCACTAAAATGGTGAAACTGGAAGAGGAGAAGGAGTACGAACTGCAGATTTTAACTGTTTGTTATCTTCTAATACAAGAACCCAGTTGTACACTGGGTTGTTGTCATGGTTTAACCCCCTATTATCTCCTGTTTTCTGGATGCAAATGTAACAGAGCGGTGCAATGTTAACGTGACAACTGAAACCTGTGGCCTGTGGTTCTCAGCTTTTCTCATTTCCTTTTTCTTTTTACTCTGCATTTCCTTCTCTCACCCTCAGTCATACAAGCACTTTGACAGTCTGTCAGGCTCAGACAAACCACTTGGGCTGCAGCAAACACAGTGCTTCCAGGTTACAACAGTGGCAACCACTTGGCTGTTACACACTATCACATCAAGCAGTGTGCTGAAACCCTCCCTGACCACCCTCTCCAGCTCCCTCTTTGTGCCACACATCCCCCCTTTATCCCAACAGTGCCTGCATGGGATCTGCGCAGCAGCGCCTTTGCTTTGGAGGAAAACTCCAAGCCAGAGCCCAGCAATGCCTCTAAATGTGTTCCTGGAGAAGGGTTACAGGAAATCTGGTAGGGCATATTTTCAGATTAAATAAGGCAAAACACTGAACAAGGGCAGTTTTTATGCTCTTCTCACTTTTTGTGATCTGAAAGTGAAACATATTACTGTTGTTGTGAATGATAATAAAAGTAGGTCCTAATGCAGCATCCCCTATGCAAATCAAGCCTACATTTGTCCCGTAAGTAGGACTCCTCTGCCCTGATTGATGCTGGAAGCGTGATTAAATCTTCTTCCAGCTTGAAATCTGTTTTCTGAGAGCCACTTCCCTCAAAAGAGTGAAGAACAGCAAAAGAGAGAGGGACAGAGGAGCAGCAGCCACTCTTCCCAGGTTCATTTACAGCAAAGCTCTTCTTGTGAATGGCAAAGACTCTTCACATTGAAGACCAAACAGCAAGGGAGCTCTGGATGTGTTTAAATAAAGCTAGGTTTAATTAGAGCTGTTCAAAAATTAAATGCAGAAAGAGAGTGTATTTATGTTTGCACTCAAAAATATATTAGATCCTCAGGCAGATCTAGGTCAGCACGGCTCGTCAAATTACTGGGAAGCGCAGTGTGTGGGAAAGTATTTGGTTTTCAGTGCGAGCGGTTTAACTCCTCCAAGTGCTGCAATACCCACACCCCCAACGCTGGCCTTTGGTATGGCAGTACAGCCAGCACCAAGAATCCAGGAATCTTGAATTATCGTTCATAAAACAGATTCCGGTTTGTTTTGCATTTTGGTTTGCCGCCTCTCTCCCTCCTTGTGTCTCATTTATAGCTACCACAATCCACCTTCCTGCATAGGCACAAGATCCAAAAACATTTTCCTTTTCTTTATTTGAAGCTTAGATTCTGTTATAAATCTGATTCAGTGTCATAGGTCTAGGAAAAACACTCAGTATCTGAGCCTTGAGATAAATCCCCATATACTGGCAACTCCAAGTTGCATTGCTAAGGTGTTGCATACTAAAAAGGAAAAAAGAAAAAAAAAGGTATTTTGTTTCCTAAGAAATACTCAGGCTTCTGATCAAGCCTCCTGCCTTTCAAGAGCCAGACTGCAGGTTTAGACTCTGCTTAGGGAAACCACGTCGCTTACCCCTGGATTACTATTTATGTAGGTTGCCTTGGTTCAGTGAGCCTGGGAGCAGCTGTGGCAGATGTTGCCCAAGTCTGCAGCATGGTGGCAATTAGGATGTGCCACAGATCACAGGACCGGGTAAGGCCAAGTATCTTCCACGGATGGGCTTTGGGATCAGCTGAGCCCGAGGTAAGGCCACGTAGCTACGGTGAGGCACAGGAGATTCATCCTATGGGTCTGAAAGGATCCTCCTTTGGTCTGTGGTCTGTGCTCTGATAAGGAATCAGGGCAACACTGTAGGTTCCAGGTGTGGTCAAAATTCCAGATTTTCACACCAAGGAATCGCAACATTTTCTATTTTATTTCATAGTGAATCAGCAGGAAGTCAACAGCAGTCTGCATTAATTTGGCCTCCTTTGAAATAAAACACTTCACTTACAGAAATGCTATCAAACCTAAAGGAGCTATTTGAATAGCCTCTTAGGCTATAAAGCAGCAAAATTTTGCTCCCACAAAGCATCTTGGGTTTCTTTGCCTGTCAACTATTCCAAAGCAGAACCGTGTTCTCAGGAATTATTGGGCACATCCACTCAATATGTACCACTTGACTGCACACACTGCAGTGCTGCAGGGAGTGGGTGCTCAAGGCATCCTGCATTTCTGCTCCAGGCTTCCATCTCCCACATGGCCGCTGCTCCAGCCTCAAGCATGCTGCAGCTCCTGGCTCCCTTCAGCCTCCCCATCCACCTCCCAGCGCCTGACCACGGTTTGCCATGTCATCTATTGACCCTGCTATGACATACTGCTGACGTCTACACTTTCAAGGCCCGTATTTGCCTTTCCCAACCCACCTGATTCTAGAAGTACACCATCGGGAGCATGCAATGTGCTGCTTTTGGCCAGGACCTGAACCCCCTACAAGGCAGGAGGGATGGCTTCAGGCCTTCTATTGCATCCAACTTGAAGCCCCTTGAGCGAGCCAGTGTTTTGAGCGCCTGGCACTCCAATGCAATGCAATGCAATGCAATGCAGAACAAAGGACCGCACCAAACGGCAACACTGCCTGCAAGGGCCCTTCCTACGGCGAGAGGAAGAGTCCGGTACCGGGTGTTCCCCCCCCCGGCCGCCGCCACCACCACCACCTCAGCCGGGGGCACCACCACACCAGCGAGAACTGGGTCACAGCGCGCTTGCACAACCCAACCCGCCCCGCCGCCACGTGACCCGAAGGCCCCGCCCTGCGGCGTGCAGCTCAGCCAATGGGGAGGCGCGACCCGCTGTCGTATTTATAGACGCTATTTAAAGAGCCCCTGGGAGTCTCCGCGCCGTGCTGGGCGGTGGCGGGGAGGGGGGGCACGTGCGGCCGAGCTGAGGGGGGAAGGGGAGCGGGAGCCCGAGACGGCGGCTCAGCCTGAGGGAGGGAGGGCGGGCGGGCGGAGCGGGAGCGGCAGGGCCCCTCCGATGGGGGGGCTGACGGGCGGGTGCCCGCTCGCCTTGCGCCGGGAAGGGCCCCTCGTTTTCACGGTGCTGAGGGTGGAGAGATGTCCTCTCAGTACGTACGGACCCGCGGTTACAATTTCAGGGCTCCTTACAGGGTAGTTTCAGTCAGAAGCGGCCGGGTTGGGCAGGCGGAGGTGGTTTCGCTTTACACATCAGCCTCTTTGGGCAAGAACTTGGAGGTGTGGAAATGCTTTTTGCTGCTCCCCGCTCTGCCCCGGTTAAAAAACAAAGTGGCTTCATCGGAGTTTTCGTGCAGTGGGGGCTGGCAGAGAGCTGCGGCATCTGGCAGTCCGGGCTGTGAGGCGTTTGCAGAGCGGCGGGGTTTGTAACCCTCCTGCACCAAGTGACTAAGGTGAGCGAGCGGCTGTGGTGATGGAGCCCCATCTTGCTCGTACACAAGTCTGCTCTGAGGAGCTGGGACCTGAGGAGTTTTCTGACAGATACGAGAACAGCAGCTGTGTGACTTTTGTCTCCACCAGTAGCGCTCGGGGCTTTTGTTTCCCTCTTAGGGGACATTTGATACACAGCTTGCAGTCCTACTGATCAATAGAATTTCCCCCTTCACTTGGAGACTTGTTTCTCCGTGTATGTGTATTCTTATAAATCCTCTCATCCAGTTGGTAGCCACGCTCATCTCTCCTTCCCATAGTACTGTTGAGCACTGACTGTAATAAAAATGGCAAATGTCCTTAGTGCCGTTTAAAGAAAACCTCCACGACATACTGTTAGTAAGTCATCTTGGTCTCTCTGCTAATGCATAATTGAGAAGAGAACAGGTATGGGAACTACTCCAGTTCTTTCTGTTTGTCCCACCAGTGGCAGACTGATAGGTTTCCCTCTGGCTTTTATTAGGATCTGCCTCAAACCAGGAAAAGAAAGAAAACAAACCCAAAACCTTAAGAAGATCCCAGATACTACCTCTGTGTTGCAAGGTGGCTGACATTGCAGGCTTTGAATAGCCTCAAATACCTGCTGCTAGCTTCTAGCAAGCATTTTATGGAGATGGTGCTGTACATGCACAATTGGCTTGACCTCTGTTTTATTACAGCATGGCAGTAATTTCCAGAATAAAATCCAAATGGACCTGGGAAAGGGAGAGACATAGTGAGTAAAGCAGTCAAAAGGACAACAGATTGCTCACTCCTGTTGTGCATTTAAAACTATAGATAATGCTCATTCAGTCAGTGCAGAGGCTTACTAGAATAGTAATTTTAATAAAAGTTGGGTCAGGCCCTGGAAGAACCTGTGTGCTAAAATATTGTGATGGGTGAGTGCATTTTACAAGGGCTTCCTGAAATGCTTAAGCTGCCTTGGTGGGAGAGAAGAAGCAACATATTTCATAGATGGAATGTGCTTCAAGTGAGCTGGTTTTGTTTGGTTGGGGTTTTTTCCTTTTTTTTTTTTTTTTTCTAATTGTACTTTTGTTGGCATCCTCTTCAGAAATGACTGCAATGTTTGCATTCAGTTTGAAAGCCGTAGGGTTTAATACCCTCTGCGGTCTGATCAAGTGATTATAGGGAAATTCACATAGCGAATGGCTTATGAAGTTGACTTGGCCAGTAATTCTGCACCTTTTTCATGCTCTTGAGTTATATTTCATAATAAATGAAAGCACAAAACAACCAGGTCTAAAAAGAGTGAAGTTAAACTGGTTGTGAAGCATCACTGGCAAACAACATCTGCAGTCATGTTGGTCAGTGGTGTTAAGGATACCCCTTTACCTGGTATCTACAAGGAAGTGAACTGCTTTCAAATTTAAAATGACCAAATACCAGCAGGGGAGGTGGAAAGGAAGGAGGCTTTTCCACGCTCCAGTTTCAATGTGATGGAGCTGGGCAGTAAGACACTGACATTCACAACTCCCCCATGGCTGCTAAGCAGAAGGCTTTTGTTCTGTAGGGCAAGATCAGGTGGAGAGGCAGGGCCTGTGCTGGCGAAGAAGAAGGAAGCAAGCTCCATCTGTGATAGTGCAACGTGTGAGGGTAACTGGCTTTCTGAAAGGCTTGTGCTGAAATTTAATGGCCCCTAGTGTGTTCTGGCAGGGACTCATACTGGTGAACCAGCTGAATCAGGGAGTGATGCTGAAATCCCTCTCCTCAGCACTCACCTGTGTACATTTGCCTACCTGCTGTTCTACTAAAAACTCATTTTAGTTGTCATCTCTGATACAACTGTGGGTTGTTTTGTTGGGTTTTTTTTTCAAATCACTACCCCTGAAAACTGAATAGCCTAGTGGATACCTGGGGCTGTCATGATTGAGCTGCAGGCATGCAGCTCCACTGGTATCAAGTCCCTGATAGTTTTGGGAACAACACACATAATTGTGTCCACACCGAGACTAGGGCCAATAAAGGCTTTTACTAACAGATCCTGAATACTAATCAATGTAGCTATACCTATATATAGGTGTATATATAACTGTATATATATGAAGGGAAAAATCTGGTTGTGCTTCTCTGCAAATGTTTCACAAAGACGCAAGTTTGGGGTTCTCTAAATGTGGAAGTTGTCTGGTTTGAATTGCATTAGTAGAATTAAAACACTACAGGGCCTGTGACAGGGATACTGTTACACTGGTGTTTCTTATTAATATTTATTGTCTTAGATCATTACACCGGTGTTTCCTATTAATATTTATTCTCTTACATCAAAACAGAATAAATGCAACTCTGGAGTTTGTAGCTATGTGGTGGGGACTGTGCAGTTCTAATGGCTTATTGGCAACAGAAGGGAGGTGACCAGCTCCTGCACTTCCATATGAGGTTCCAGGTAAATCACAAGGGTAATACTGGTCTGCCCCACATATTCAGTCTCTGTTGCTTATCTGTCTGCAGGTAGAGCTGGCTGAATTCACTCATGCAGCAGTAGACTACAAGTACTAAGGCTAATCACAGAAAAAAAGTCACTGGTTCTTTGCTAGACTAATGAGCTGAATTATTTCCCACGTGTTTTGATGAACAATAGGGGCAGTGCAAGAGGCCAGACAGGGCAGCCAGGACATGGGAAGGGGATGCACTTCTGGTTTGGAGGCCACAAGCCACTAGCTAGGTGCAGGATGAAGGTGGAGAGTGTATCTGAGACTTTTGTACCAGAATTGCCACATTTGCTTTTCCAATATAGTTATTTCAATGAGGCTGTAGGAAGATGTAATTTTTCACATACAGCTTTTTGGCTGTTTGTAAATGTCTCCTGGCTGAAGACTGCTGTTCCCTTCGAGCTGCCGGTCTGTGGGAGCACATCCTAATTCTTTTCAGGCAAAAATCAGGCAAGCTGGTTTGAATAGTTGCAATAGTCAGCCTGAGCTCATCTAAAGTGAAAGGAGGAGTGCTCACTGGAACTGCTCCAGAGGCAGTTGAACGAGCCAACATCCAGCAGAGGGGCTCGGGGTGGTAACAGATTTTACCGGCACAACCAGATTCAGAAGATGACATAAGTTCACAGCCAAAAAAGAAAAAATCACCTCTAGATCCAAAATACCTCATACCCTTACAAAAAGCAGTATTGAAGCCTTTTTTAGAGTAGCACTCAGACAACATTAATGTACTTTTTGTTGAATTTTTCTGTCTGTGAGTTGCGCTAGTCTTCGGGTCCTTATACCAACTTGAGTCATGTCTATCAGTAGTGGGTCTGAGGGCATACAAGCATGTGAAAAGGAGTAAGAGTACAAAAAATGGACTTTGAGTTGTGGAGTTGAGCTTGCCATCAGCCTGACAGTGTCAGGAGTAAGGGTATGCTGAGCAGGATCCCGCAGGAAACAAGCCCAGTGGAGTTGTGGAAGGTGTTTGCCTTTTTCTCTTAATGCTTGAAACCCAAACAGGGTGGGTGGCTTTTATCTGAATGAAGTATACACCAAAGAGGCATTGTGAGAATGGATTTTGGCCTTCTGCAGATAGCCCTAAATGTGGCTCTCAATATGGTCGTTCTTTTCTCCTCTTCTTTTTTCTGTCCTTCTGTCAGTCTTGTTAATTATTAATCTAGTGTGTTGAGAGCCACATTCTTCTGAGCGGCTCCTCCCATGTTTCCAACCTGGGCAACATGTCTTGTATTATTAGTCTGTGGACTAAAATTGCTCCTTCATAAAATGTCATACTCTGGAAAGAAACCCAGGGTGTACAGAAGGTGTGTCGTCCAGGCCTTGTGGTGTGTTATGAGACCTGCTTTGCTCTTATCCATTATGCTGCTTTCTTAAATGACCTCTGCAGCGTTCAGTAAAACAGCCTCAGGTTGTGGACTTTGTGGTCGTTTCAGCACATGCAATTAATCAGGAGGGAAAAATAAATCTAGCATCAGAAAGTACATTTTACTGGAATTGAGTTGTAATTTCTGTGCATAATTTAACACTTTGGGGAGTGAATGTTCTCTCTTGCTTGAAATAATTTAGAGGTGGTTTTGAAATAGAACACTTTTGTGTAAACACATCTTGAGATTAAAGACCTCATATTTAGTTTTCTCCAGCATCTCATCTCTGTCTATAGGATGTATCATGCAGTAATCTCAGAGTTCTATTCTGCAAACTGTTTCCTTATGAACAGATTCAAAATAATTCTCCTGGCAGAATTTCTTTTCCCCTAAATAAGGGCCTGTAAGATAAAAACCAATGCAGGGTATTTCTGTGCCTGTTTAATAGAAGGGAAAACTGAGGAGAAGTTTGGCTGACAGTGGCCTCAAGCTAGTGGTTCACATTTTGCAGTCTTTAGCAAGGAAAACAGCTGTTTTAACAAATGGGTTTCCCCAAAATTGCAGACCTTAAAGTTACAGATCCCTTTTTAAAGCTGTCCCTGTGTTAGAATAGAATCATAGAATTATAGAATAGTTAGGGTTGGAAAGGACCTTAAGATCATCAAATTCCAACCCCCCTGACATGGGCAGGGACACCTCACACTAAACCATATCACCCAAGGCCTCGTCCAACCTAGTCTTGAACATTGCCAGGGATGGAGCATACACAACCTCCCTGGGCAACCCATTCCAGTGCCTCATCACCCTAACAGGAAAAAATTTCCTCCTTATATCCAATCTAAACTTCCCCTGTTTAAGTTTTAACCCATTACCCCTTGTCCTATCACTACAGTCCCTAATGAAGAGTCCCTCCCCAGCATCCCTGTAGGCCCTCTTCAGATACTGGAAGGCTGCTATGAGGTCTCCACGCAGACTTCTCTTCTCCAGGCTGAACAGCCCCAACTTTCTCAGCCTGTCTTCATACGGGAGGTGCTCCAGTCCCCTGATCATCCTCGTGGCCCTCCTCTGGACTTGTTCCAACAGTTCCATGTCCTTTTTATGTTGAGGACACCAGAACTGCACACAATACTCCAGGTGAGGTCTCACAAGAGCAGAGTAGAGGGGCAGGATCAC